AGCTCAATATTATAATATTTTCTCTGAATACGAGACGATTCTGTTTGTACGGGACGGTAAAAAGGCCAGCCTCCACCACTTGCTAATGTTACTAAATCTGTGGAAGCTCTGCCACAGCCACCACCAAACAATTTTACACATCTGCTAACCAGAACGCTGTTTACTCGCATGTGACATCAGTCCCAGGTCTGTGTTCCGATTTCCAAGGTAAGTCGAACGCAACACACGAAGTAACGAATAACGAGCCTACACAGTAAAATTCGGAGTGTTAAAATAACACTTAAAGAGTTAAATTTAACACTGGTCCGAGTCTATTTGGTCCCATTCGGAATTGGTGTTAAAGCAACTCTTTCTATAGTGTTAAAATTTTAGAGTAAAATTAACTCTAAATAGAGTAAAATTTAACACTGAGTAACACCGCAGAGTGTTAAATGAACCCAACACTACTAGTAGTGTCATATTATTTACTCTATCATAGTGATAAGTTAACTCTATTTGAGTAAAATTCCACTGATTTTTAACACTGAATTGAGTTATTTCAAGTTAACACTGGGGGTTCAAATAACTCTGATGAGAGTTGATGTTACTCGATACTATGTTATTCATACACTTTTTCTTGTGAAAAATTAGCTCTCATAGAGTAAAATTTTAAATTAATTTTACACCAAGTAGTGTTACTAAAACTCTTCCTCTTCCAGCATGAAAACCTGGTTTCTAATAATGCTTTAAAATATAAAACAAGCAAAAACCACAACTAGATAATAGGTTTAACGGCTTTATTTTGATGTCAGGCTCAAAATATTAAAACATCTCATGTGGTGTACATAAAACACTACATACACAAAACAGTCATAAAACACTTTAAAACAATGAATTTAGTTCGGCATAAAATGACAATATGGAACCACATACAGGGAGGAATCAGAAGTGCCATACTTCATTTGAAGATCAAATGGTTTGAAGTAACACAGCTCTTTTATGTTCAACACCTTCAGCACCATATTGGGCTGCATTCTCACCTTAAATGCATGATAATGGTCATCAAAACACAGGGTTTCCATCAGTTTTCCACAGAGCAATGCAATGTCATCTTTCACAACAATACTTTTGATCTTATAAAACACTGGAATCTCAGACATTACCTCTGTACAGATAATAAAGTCAGGGCGGTACTCTGTACCATGATGTTTTATCCACTTAGCTGATAAAACACTGGTGGACAACGCAGCTCCAAATTTTAAAGCAATTTCTGGACCTTCTTTCAGCTCTCCAAGTGTCACCATCTTTCCTGGTCCTAAAGCTAATCTTTCGAGGCTAAAAGACTCCCAATACATGGCCATACAACTTTGGTGTTTCTTGGCCAATGTCATTGTAATGTTTTTAAAGCTTTTTAATTGCTTCTTAAAGAAGTTATGTTTGGCTTCCTAACGCATGCACCACATGTGCAGAATTGGGCCAATATTTCGTATACTGCGAGGGTAATGTATCATGAAGTGATGCTTTGGTAGGCGACTGAGTGTAGGAAATAACTGCTTAAAGAGCTGATGATGATCAATAATTAAATGTTTGAGGTAGATGGTCATACCTTCTGACAGCACTGGTGAAAACACAATATTGACAATTTGTAGAAGCAGAAGTAGAAGATGCCAGTAGCTATCACCCACCTGTACCAAATCGCCAAACATCAAAGGTACATTACGCAATAAGCACCAAGATTGAATTGCATTTAGTCCTAAATCATTACTGCCGTCAAACAACTTTACCCTTGGTGGGCGATTTCGCTGCTGATTGAAGCCATAGTCAAAGGCATGTCTTCTACCAGCAAGTTGTTCAGCACTTAGGAAGTTCTCCTGAATGTACTGCAGCACAAGTTTCACCTCTAACTGAGCAACTCCCTCCAAAATGTCATGCATGATATCTACAGAAAAATTGTTGGCTGTGTTGAAATATTTAAGTGAATTCAAGAGACAAGTGCGTTTCACACCACATACATGAGGTAGCGTAGGATCTCTTTGTACACTTTCACAGTGCTGCTTATGCATATCAAGAGTTCTTAGTGCAACACCAGAATCATCTTCACAGAACACACTTTGAAAACAATCCTTCTCAAGCAGACAAAACGACAACAATATCGAGCTGCAAATGACTCCACGAACCCAAACAGACTATGCAAGCCAAGATTGTCCCCAGTGACCTGGATTACAGTGCCATGAACCAAGTGTTTAAACATGGGAAGTTTCAGTCCCTCCGTCTCAAGAACTTTCAGATCATTGACAAGTGGCTCAAGGATTGAATTAAAGCCATAACGCTTTGAGTCTTGTGCATGAAAAAGAGCACACAAAAGAATATTGACCAACAACGAATTAAAGATTGGAGGAAAATTCCTTAGTGTAAAGTATGTTGCACCTAATTTATGTACACCCTTTTCAGAGCCCAGGGGATTTGCAGTTTCAAAGTCATCATTTGTAAGGCATCTTTTTCTGCAGAAAATAGGGGACATCTTTTAACATAGGCAGCATCGATTAAGTCTGCATACACACCTTCTCTGGACATATTCCTCGACTTGAACATGTCGACAACATGGTGGTTTTGAAAGATAGTTTTCAGTGTTTCCAAAATAGGAACATATGCAAACCTATCGGTTACAATGACTTGATCAAAAGTCCCTGTGATCTTGTTTCTTCTACTGTCAAATCTTGTGCCAAGCACCATTTCAACAGGTTCAACAGTTGCCCATTTTTGTTTAAAGTGCCTATTTCGTTTAGCTTCTGAATTTAACAGTGTGAATGGGTTTTCAAAGTTTTTGAATGACTGCTCTAATTTCTTTTTACTTGAAGTGTCCTGTGAAGGTACGCTCTGTAAAGCTGCATCTTTAGCCTGAGTATGAATCTCAAAAAACACTTCCTCCATTGAGGAGACAAAACTATTCACAGTAGATTGGCTTAATCCAGCTGCCCTGAGCTGTGCAACAGTAGAGGCACACATATCCAAAGTGCTCTTATTTGAACTTTTCAACATTTCAGATGTTGTGGATGTTTCTTCTACATTAGTTGACACCACCTCCCCTGTAGTGCTAACTTCTTTAACTGCCACATCAGGCTGTAAATTAACATCAGTGTCAGCCTGTTGGTCGAAATAGTTAAGGTGTTTGGTATTTAAATGTTTTCTAAAACTTGCAAAAGTGCCAAACACACAGCCACAGTCACGCTGGGCACATTTAAGGCGAAGGTTTCTTCCAGGTAAGTAACCATGGACTAACCGTAAATGCCTAACAAGCATGTTTGAACCAGTAAACTCAGCCTGACAGACAAAACACTTCATGATGGAGAATTAACCTTCAAGCCCTAACGAAGCAACCTTGTCCGTATTTCAGCAACTCTGGGACTTTCTTTGACTTTGCCAACATCTATATTGTACACTGTGGTTTGGATGAACGTGTACATGTTGTGAAGCATGGTGTTCTAAGATGTGCCAAACACAAAATGTGCTTTAAACAGTTCATCAAAAGCACCAAGTGAAGAGGTAGACTTGCATGGTATGGCATTCTTGTCAAGAATAATGAAGAACTGGTGGATGTCATGCTTTTTCACCCCAACAGCCAGGAGGTAGGGTTGAGTGCTGGTAGTGATGGCATCAAGGTGCTCTTGGATATTTGTTCCAGTCTGAAAAGACAAATACAGACAGGCAATAAGAATCAAGTGTTTCTTAAACTGGTAATTCATACCATAAAAATAGAAAAGAAACAAACCTTCTTGAAGACCACAAGATGCCTTTCTGCTTGAGAAGCTGACACCTTTCCTGGTCTCTTCCGACCCTGACCAGATGGTGGAATCAGATGTAATAGCAATAGCATCGCTGAGAGGTCACTGTCCCAGCCTGAAAAAATATTTGTTTTTAATAAAGTTGAATCATCCTCATCAATAACAAATTTCAATGCATCTGCACTGACAAAATGTTTGAGTAGACCCAAAATACAAAAGGACAGCTGTTCTGTGACAAACATTATATATCCTGTGAATGTTCTAATTAAAGAAATAACAGCTCACCAGTGTCAGCATTAACTTCAGTGGCATCCTCAGGAGAGTCAGCTGCCAGCAAGAGTTCTTCCAGGTCACTGGTAGAAGGAAGCTTCCTGCCTTGTTGGATAATCTTTCTTTTGAATGTTGTTGGCCACCTCTCCAGCAACCTGCTTGATACATCCTCACCAAACATCAGTACAAAATCCTGTTCGATCTGTAACAGGGATAGAGAACAGAGAATTATATCTGCTCTCTGCAAAAAATAAAATGTGTTTACATTGTCAACGTAATGAAAAATATTCACCAAGCCTTTGATATCTTTGAAACGTGGAAACACAGACAGTATGTTGCTTGACAGAAGGGGGTCAAGGACCATGTTGTGTCGATAAACAAATGTCAACTTCATCTTCTTCTTGACTGTGTCTTCATCAGCTGAATGTTTCATCAGAGCGATTGCTTCCTTGCACTCATCCTCACTCAGCATCTTCTCTGTAACAAACTGCAACTCTTGTCTGGCAGTCGGTCCGCCACACTGGTCTTCACCCGATGATCCATCTCCTGGTGCTAGACAATATGAAATACAACTTTATCAAAACTAATAATAAGATTTGATAACCATTATTAATACAGAACCACAATTTGGAACTGTATTATATGTTTCCACTGAATTATGAATGTTACCTCCAGATGTTAATCGCCTCTCTTTAGCAGTGCATCTCTGTATGGCTTTAATCCTCCAGGCCAAGTACCCAGTGCCACTCTCGACATCATAATAATGTTCCTTGGAGAGTGACATATACAGACATTTTGTTTATTAATTATCAGTAAGTTATGTGACCATGAACAGTTGATAAGGACATACATTTTGGCAGGATTTAAAATTTTGATTTTAGTTGTATCAGTTATTGCTGTTAGCTACTCACATAGCCATTTTTGGAGTACGGGTCACTGAGGTAAGGGAAAAAGGTTACAATTCCTCTGGCACACATTTCTTTTACCTGCCGTGGTGGTGATGTACTGCAAGATCAAAAGGAAAAGGACTAGTCAGCTTCGCTGGAATTCATAGAGATTTAAAATAATTTGAAAATGATAGTTAAAAAAATCACAGGGCCAGAAATAAATTACCCATTTTTTTCTGTCATGTCAGCTACCAGTATGTTGACCATTTTTCTTCTGGTTTCATCCACCAGGGACTTGGTCCGATTGTACTCATTTATTATACGTTCTCCACCAGGTTTGCTTGTGAGAATGGATTCCACCAACTGGAAAACACAATAAAAACATCCTACATGTTGATATAACCACTACAGTTCAGAACACTTAAACTACAAACAAAAAAGACACTATTAGAAGAATGTGGAAATCTGTTAGCTCCTACTTGCTTAGCTTCTGCATCCAGCTTCTGACGTTTCCTCAAAGGGCTGTCTGAAAGGATGACCGTATCCTGTGAATCTGATGAATGTGGCCATGATAACTGGAACCGCTCAGGAGACACTTCTGCAACAGATGTTTCCAGACCTTAAAAATAGGAGCAAAACAAATCAGTTAACATGGTCCCTCCATAGACTCATTTTATACACTCTTTGATTAAACAATGTAATAATGACACTAAAAAAAAAGACATCCAATGAAACACAAATCACTCAAACAAACCTGTTTCATATTTGATGGTTAGTACCCCGGTTGAGGGATCTGTTACTATATCCTCAAAAACAGGGGCGGAGCGTGGGGGTGGCTTACTGGGCTTAAGCCCGGGTTGTTTTGTCAGAAGCCCGGGGTCTTTTGGAGTGTAATTTTTTCATAGTTAGATGCCTGGCTGACAACTGCATAAAACACAAAGTACACACAATATTCGAAGCACATAGTGCACACTGTGGGAATTTACGACTGTGCGTGAATCCCCCCTGATATTGGTATGATCCGAGCTCAGGCACTAAGCGACTGAGCGAGGGGGCGGGGCAGCTGCTGCCTGTGAGTGCGCTGTTGGAGAAACGGAGCCAGCCATACTAAGGAGAGCTTAAGTTTGACCAGGTACCAAAGCAAATCATTCGTACTGTACAAATAATGTAAATATGACGGTGAATCACGAAAGATTGATATCAAACTGATCACTTGACCAATATTATTTTACTCGCTCTTCAAGTGAATCAACAAATGGCGAAATGAAAATGACTCAAAATGTTAGAAATATTCCAGTGTTAGAAAATCAGCACTGCTCAGTGTTAGTCATTGTTAATCTTCAAGACTGACTAGGTTACTTTTAAACATATAACACTGTCAAAAGTGTTACTTTAACACTCAACAGTGTTGTATTTAACACTCAGAGGTGTGGCCCCATATAGACACTCTCTAGTGTTAATTTAACACTGGAGATTTTGCTGTGTAACAAAACAATACTAGAATGCCAGACATCAAGCTGTAGTTCTTAATGAACGACTCTTGCTCTGTGCTATTCTAGGGTGGTTTGGGGGTCCTCAATTCTCAGGTTACCAGCCTAGGATCCCAGACGCTGCTGGTCCGCCGCTGCGTCCAGCCATCGGTGGGGGAACCAACCCCAGGACAAAATTTGTCCCGTTAGACCTGCAGTTCTTAACAAAAGTCTCTTGCTCTAGTGCCCAGACACTGGAAGAATTTTGCATGAGTGCCGTTTAAATTAGCGAACAGATGAATTAGGGTTCATCCAACATGCACACTTGGATGTAACAGGTGGTGCTTACCTTTAAGATTCTGTTAGACCTGTCCTCTGTTCGCCTCGTTTCACGACCCCATGATTACGATCTAATTCGTGTCTCTCAGCCATTTTGGATCCGGGTCACAGGCACCAATTATCGACCCCAATTCCTTTGTCCTCAGGCTTTTCAGAGAAGACGCAAACTCAGTGTAATCAAAACATATGCAATCACTTTATTCAATACAGTCTTCTTCAGTAACACCTTCAGGAAGGGAGATGTGCACAGCGTGAAAGCCTTCTGCAGATCTACTGCATTACTGACAGGATGAGAGTGATATACTCTGCACCCCCACTCCTCACGGACACAACAGGAGACGACCTTCAGGTCATCATCTAGCAGCACAAACATGAGCTACATTCTCTGAAAAGTCTGCACTAAAGCTCCTGTTTATCACAGTTTCATTTCGCCAGGAAATCTAATGACCTAAAGCACAGTATACTTTATATATATATAAACCCTTAAAGCCGGCCTTTAATATTACCCTTTAATATTACGCTTTAATATAGTCTTTAATATATACTTATCAAATAGGCAATTGGATTGTATTTTATAAGAGTTCCCAATAATATTTCAGTGTATTAGCTGCACTGTTATTTACTTAAGTTCAGTTTCCCCCCCTGATAATGCAGGATTTTATCTGAGGGTTTTTTCTTTTCCTTTTCTTTCTTTCTTTGTTTAATAAAATGACTCATGTGTTAATCAAATCAGAACACTGTTAAAACATGTTGTGAAATTCTTTATTTCTAATATTGTAGACTTGTGCCTAAACTTGACATTTCTGACATTTTCTCCAATAAAACTGTTGCATTTATCTCTTTGGGCTTGCCAGAGATTTCTTTTCTTTTATGAACATGCACACAAGGAAATTTAATTTGTCATTTATTACTGAACTCCATTTGTCATAGAGGATCTCAGCTCTATCCCCTTGCAAGTTTTTTGGTTCTCTGAAAAAGTGCAAATGTTAAGACATTTTGTAATGCAAGCTAAAAATACTCAGTAAATTTATGTTGTCTGTCTTGTGTTTTTACAAGTGTAATTGCTTATTTCTAACACATTTTCTTTTAATATCCAATTCAAAACACAGTAGTTTTGGCTATTACAAGAGTTTGGGTGTATTTTAAAGCTTTTAGTCCTATTAGCTTAAGATGCTTAACATTTTAAAACTAATTATTAATTCCTAAAATGTATTGAGGTAGATTTGTACTTGAAAGTCAAAAGATCAAGTAGAGAGTACCCGTCATGGGCGGGGTCTGTGACCCAGTGTTTGAGTGTTTATATATTTTGGTATTCATCTGTGTCCTAGTTTAGTTCAGCTAGTTCATTCTGAGGTTGCTGTTTAGTCCTTTGTTTCTTATTTGTTTATGTCATCTCCTCCTGTATTCAGTCACCCTGGTCCGTGCGTCTACCTGTCATGCGTCATGTCTGCGTGGTTATGTTCAGTTCAGCTCACGTCTAATCCCCATGTTTCCTGTTTTACTTTGAAAGTCTGTGTCTAATGTCAGTGTATGTAGTTTCACTTTCCCTGTCCTGTCTTTAGGTTCATGTGTATCATGTATCCCTTGATCATCCCTCATGTATATTTAGTCTCTGGCTGTCTCCCAATTCAGGGTCTGCAGCCTTAAAGGCCGCATTTCAAGGCCGATTACGTCACAGCGGCGCGACGAAGGCTGTCCCAATTCAAAGGCTGCTCGAAATGCGGCCCTCAAATGCGTCCTTCATTTCCCTGAATTTTAAGGCTGTGGCAGTGTAGACTTTGTGGCCCAACATATCCCAGAATGCATAGCGTGGCGGTGGGTGTGGATAAATTTGCAGAAAAAAACGGCAGATGAGGGGCGCCCGAAGAGTGAACTTTAAGTACTGAATATGATGTCACTTATTTATGTGCAAATGTTTAATAACGAAGAACATTAAAACATTACTGTTGGCCACATGTCGGCAAAGTCATGTGACATTAGTGACGTTTGTACTAACTTGGTTTTAAAGCCTTTACTTTCAAATACACGCCGTTCAATAGCTGAGCTTCATCTTACAGAGAATGATCAAAGCTCATGTAGAAACAAACACATGAACAAAAGATTTTCTCCTTCATCTCTGTCACACAAAGCTGAATGACACGTTTCCAGCTGTTAGTATCATGGTTGCTAGGCAACCTGGGCAGCGCGACGGAGGCTTTTTTTTTTTAAACTTTATTGACAAACAACAGTATCAGCGCAACGGAGGCTAGACCATCCCATTACACAAGCCTCGCACTTCCGCCCTTAGCGGTCTTTGAGTACGCGGCCCTTGAGGATCGTTGAGGCTGCAGACCCTGGATTGGGATACAGCCTCTGTGTTTCATTCAGCCTGTGTCGCGTCGTCTGTGTTCCCACCCTCCATGTTTTCATGGGCAGTCTTTGCAGTCATGGTCATAGTTCTCTGAGTCTCCATAATTTATCACAGTATTAGTTTCCCAGTTTAGTTATAGTTTAGTTTAGTCATTGTGCTTCTGCCTTCTTTAACCTCTATAACAAAAAAACATTTATCAGTGTAACTTAAATTTTTTTATACAAATCAGCTACATAAATTATGTTTATTTAACTTGTTTTTTTGTTTGTTTTAGTTACTTAAAATATTTTATGTAATCAGTTTAGCCAAAAGTTTTGAGTTAAATTAACGCATTGGGTTTTACAGTGTGGATTTTCAACTACTTTTTTGTTGCAATTTTTTTATTTATCAGTGACAGAATAAAAAATCATAGCATCAAAATAAAAACTGGTAAACTTGAACAAATTCCAGGAAGGATATTACTGAAGTCAGATTGGATGTGAAGGAACGTACTAAGATGTAAAACTAGAAGTACAAATATCTTACGCCCACAAATAAACTGACTGTAACAAAGGGTCCAGTATTTTGTTTCTAACAGCTGGCAGTGCATATAAAACACCAGGACACCACCACAAGGTAATAGCGGTGATGTACTGATGTAGGTCATCGTCGACATCATTGACTCTACAACGATTCAGCACAGAATTTTAAATCGGGCCAAACTCCCAGCATGTGTCGGGTTTGATCTCTGTTCTGGAAACACAACTGTGACAAGACTTTTCTGCTGTCAGTATGAGATAATGGCAATTAAAACACACAAAGAAACTAACTCTGCTGCTTAATCATCGATTTATTATGATATATTATTAGAATGAAATGACAGAATGGAATCACATTGAATTTTGAAATCAGAAGAGAGAGAGATCCAAACGACATTATTGTTTAGTGTATCTGGATTTTGGATTTACAAACAGATGAAAAATAATCCCAGCAGGTGATTAACGTCCTGTTTTACTTCTGAAAAAATAAAGAAAAAGCTACAAGACAGCCCAAACAGGAAGTTTGCAGCTGGTACACCTTTCACATGGAGAAAAGCAGATGACCTCTGAAGCTGGTATGATAATTGTAATCATCAAATATCCTTCCACCAGCCCAGAGGCGCACATACACCTGATCTTGAGCATCTAGAAGCAGTGAGCCACCATTAGAGGCACTTGGAGAAAGTGTTGTCTGATGTTCCCATGCCGTAAAAATGAGCTCTTTATTCATGAACAACCTAGCAGCTGTAGGATATGCATTGTCTCCGTGTCCATGCAGGGTCAACTCAAAGTTGTAGACTCCTCTGACTGGTGCAGTGAAAATACCTGTGGGACATTTGTTTTTGCCATATTACATGAAAAATCAGCTGTTAGAACATCTGGAACATCAGCAAAGCAGAGAAGTGACATTGAGTGTTATTACCTGTGTAGGGGTTGTAGGCATTTCCAATGTTTGTGACAACACGTTTGAAGATCAGAGTAGTCTCTGTGTTAAATGGTCCAGTATAAGTTCCACCACCATGCTCCACCAGAGAGGCTGAGAACGCCACCTGTTTGGCTGAGAGAGAGAGAAATGTCATTATTTTAAACTTCCTGTTTTACAGTTATACCTCCTTTGTACAGGCTGTGAATTCAAATACTACACGTTACACAAACCCCATTTGGTAAATGCGTTACTTTGATATAGTCTTGAAATATTAGTTTATGTAGATATCATGTTGAAGAAATGTCATCGTGTTCACTGCACTAAAAACAGACTGTTGTGAAACTGTAAGTTAATGATTCTTCAGTTTGTCAGCAGCACAGAAAATACAGAGAGTGATAGTCTAATATTTAGACGAGCTTTGTGCTGTTTCATGTTTATCTGTTTTACATTATTGTGAAGCACGCTTTTACCGTGTTAAGAGTGCTATATACATCAATAAAGTAAATTAAAGTAACAGTGTGATGGGTCACCACTGCTCCACCTTCACTCCTTTTTTAAGGCGCTGACTCCATTTTAATTCCTGTACTTCACTAATAATTCGATTAACTTATGTAAGCCTTCTTAGATTATCAATCGTATTTACCACTATTAACAGTTAATATTCTTTATATATAAAACATTTGTCTAATGAATTCTAAACTAGAAGCCGATTATTGCCAGCATGGGGACATCAGGATGTGCCAGTATCACCAATACTTCATCAACATGATTAGAGAGTATATTTGGAGCACCATGTGACATCAGCTCCCATTAAACACTTCAGATGTCATGGTCCGGGGTGTGCGGCTGCAATTTTCAGTCAGGCTCCTGAGTCTACCTGGGATCCGCCCCTGGGCAGGGCCACCTCCAGTTTCTCACACCTGGAGCAGATTTGCAGCCAATCAACCCAGATTGATTTAAGCCTCCCACTGACCTTCATTCACTGCCAGTTTGTCATCAATCCATGTTGGTAGCTGGCTCTCATGTTTCAAGCTCCCTTTGTGAATAATCTTGCTAACCTTACTTTCTTATGCTGTAGTTCCTGGATTCACCTTCTCTCAAACCTCTGGCTCACGGTTCTCTCTCGGACTCAGGATAACAAACCACCATTTTTGAAATCACTCGATGCCTCACCTGCCTGCCCGCTGCCACCACTCTATCAGCAACCTCTAGATCTCACCTCAGGTCAGCCTTTCCACATTGCTCAGCTCACCCTCCACTCATGGCTCTTTTGCTCCTCCTGCAAAGTGACTGCTAACTGTCCTGTTCCAGGCTGGATCTCAGGCCCATTTCCCCTTTCTAGTTCCACGTCCCCCTAGCCATGTTACCCAGGCCACGCCATGTCAAATTCTACCTTTCACTGCTTTTTGTTCTTGACACATTTTCTAAGACTGAGTATATTGTAAAACTACCTGGCTTCTCTGTCCTGGGTTTCTGCACCTCAGTCCAGTTTTGGTACTGACCACTCGGTCCCGTGACATCAGACCGTGGTCCTGCATTGCCTGCTCTATATGTTGCTTCATATGATGATTTATGTGAAAAAATGAAGCAGTTTTATTTCAAAGTTGTTATCCCTGCTGTCTCTTCAGTCTGTTTCTCTCACTCCATATAAAAGACAAGTTATTGAAGATGGAACCAATAACTATGCAATTCAAATGCATGACAAAAGTCATGCTAAATCACTTCCCAGTGAATATATTTGCAGTGCTTATCTGTTTGTGCTGACAATTAGACAATTTTATTTCAACAGTTTACGTTCAAACTTGTGTCATAAACATAAATATTACAACATCTCTATAGAAATTCTGCCCTTGAGGATTTGCACACAGTACCTTGTAGCCGCTGCTTCAGCTGCTCAATCTCAGTCTTCTGTGTCTCCACTTCTTTTAGTTTTGCTTCTTGTTCTGACAAAACAAAAGGAAATGGAACATGGTTGCACAGCTTGTCCTCAGATTGCTTTAGTGTTCCTGTAATTAAGATTCTGTCTTTACATGATCAAAAAATACAATTCTGTTCTTTAAAATAACTGGAACACAACAGCGGATCATATGAAGGCTTCTTGATGCTGCTGTCTCTCACTAACTAACACAATTTTGTACCTCGATTCTCCTTTTGAAGAAGTGTGATCTGCTCTTTCTGTACAGCCAAAGAGGCGACTATCCTTGTCAGCACAGCTTCCATGTCACTTGTAAATGGCTGTAGGAGCGCAATCTTTTTTTTAAGAATGACCTCATCTTCAGCTGTCTGAGCTGCTGAGATAGAGCAGGCCAGAAGCAACACAGAGAAAACCAAGATGGTCTCCATCCTGTCTCCAGAAATCTGAAGTTCAACTGTCTCATCTGCAAATCTGACCTTTTTATGATATGGCAGCAAGAGGCAGGACTATCATCAGGTTACTTCCCCACTCCTCCCAGTTTGTTAAAAAACGAGGAAGTACTCAAACATGACTGGAATAGTGAATTCATCAACCTCTGTGTTTTGGTTGACTGCTGTTAAAACAGGTCAGTTGAATTTAATGCTACAATTTCCAAATGAGGAAAATGCAAATGGTAGCACTGCGCAGGTGTATACACACTTTGTCACAGTTACCTCTGTGAGCGACACACAACACAACCCCATGAATAACACACCCCTGGTAGATTCACAAACATAAAAATGGCATTTAAAAGGTTAAACCATCAACCTCGGATGTTGCTGTCATCTTTCTGCTCTTGTAAAAGGAAACACATAAATTCATCCACCCTTTCGTCCTGTCTAGGTGGAGGTTAACCTTGAGTCGTGGTCAAGTCTTGTCAGCTTTTACCAGTCAGTCAGTTTGTTTTTATTTCCATCCATTCATCCATTCTTTCTTTCTTTCTTTGCTGATAGTGGAACCCATCGTCGCATTTAGATTTTAATGTGGAGAAACTCACTTGCAACGGTTTTCTCGACAGGTTGTATAGCACTTTTAATTCCCGTTGTGCAGATCTGCTTAAAGAAAAGAAATTGACAAACAGAAATCAGTGCACAAATGAAAAATAAAAGATAAAAGATAAAACTACAAAACAAAAGTAGATGAAAAAACCGAAGCCCGGTCTTAGGACTTGTCACAGAATATTCTTTCTCTTATAGGTGAGAAAACACCAACTCTAAAACTTGGTGCCATGGTAAGACCTTCCCCATACTTCAGAAACAAAAACAAAACCAAACAAAAATCTGCCAGTTTCACTCATTCAAACTCTGGCTGCAGGACTCTGTTCACCCTGCTATCATGTTCCCCAAAATAATACTAATTCAGTCGTCTATGTATCAGTTCTCACCCCACTCGATAAACCAGGCAGGATGATGGTAACAGTGTTACCTACTTAAAATTGTGTTTGATCCTAATGAGCTTCATTCCATGTGTGTGTGTTAGTAAATGGTCTGCATGTGTATAGTGCTTTTCTAGTCCCTAAGGACCCCAAAGCACTTTACACATTCAGTCATCCACACATTCACACACTGGTGATGGCAGCTACATCGTAGCCACAGCCACCCTGGGGCGCACTGACAGAGGCGAGGCTGCCGGACACTGGCGCCACCGGGCCCTCTGACCACCACCAGTAAGCAACGGGTGAAGTGTCTTGCCCAAGGACACAACGGCCGAGACTGTCCAAGCCGGTGCTCAAACCGGCAACCTTGCAATTACAAGGCGAACACCCAACTCTTCAGCCACGATCAGTATATGAGTTGTAGACTCATATACTGTGGTTTGAGATTTAGACTGGTCTAAACTGGTTTCAGGTATGAACTGGTCTGTGAGTGGGAGTCCTCTCTCTGCCATCTATAATCCAGTTTTGAGATCCTTCCCAGACGCCTTAACGCCCACTCACATCCTGGGCCATCTGACCTCAGGAATTCGCATGATAAGGTGGGGCCAGGTTTCACAATGAGCTCACCCGAAACTCTGACTGATTGGGACCCACACCCAGTTTCACACCTTGGCTCAGGCGATTAGAGGATCATCAGGGGGTCCTTTTGTCCCTCTGTGGGGGGAAACTCCCACTAGGTTTATATCTGGGACTCTCCACCATTTGACCTTAGAACTGAAGAAGCTTCTCGGATGAGAGGTGAAACGTCTTCAAGCAACTTAAAGAAGTCCAGACGCTTTTCTTTGCAAGCTCCTTTGACCTCTTTGTCCCGTGTCTCTCTTTGTCCCACTGTCTCTTTCATTGCCATCTCACTCCAAACTCAGACAGTCTTCTCAAAAGTCCTTCACACACAGTGAGGTTGCAGCTTGCTGGAAACGCATCTCCATCCATCCAATCTAGATGGTGGTTCTTCTCTTTCTGATGCCGTTTGCCCACAGCGCTGCTGGACCTCTCTGCTCAGATTGTCTCTTGGCCTCCTGTCCACTGTTGATGTTCATGCTCGTGCTTCTGGAACTGCACTCGGTGTCTTCAGGGAGAGATCAGCTTCCTTGGAGCTTGCTCGTTCAGGATGAGGACGGGGAGCTGCAAAACAATTCAGCCAAAATTCTGGCTGAGTGTTTCTATTTTTTCTTTCTAATGATCTTAACCTTTTCTTCCGACTGCTGCCCGTGGAGAATTGATCCAGGTCCGTTCCCCACCTGTAAACGACAGACTGAGAGACTTTCATTATTCACTGTGACTGCATATGTTTTCATCACTCCTAAAGCAACACATCTCTGCTTATTTTGTTTTGAACTCTACTGACTTTAAACCCCCAAAATGTGAATTTTTATTTGCTCTTAACCGCGAACACAAATCTTTGTCCTTTCACCCAACAGCTCAGTCAACAGTCAGCCATCAAATCCTCCATTCATCCTTGAATACTTGATCACCTTTAAATGTCACTGTTAATTTTAGCAATTTATTTTCATTACCTTAACACTAATCCACTGTTTTAGTTTTCTTTATTTACTTTAGTTCACTTTCTCCTATTTGATCACTTTGATTTCTTGATTATTATTACTTCACAGAAAATCAACTGACCTACTTTTCTCCCTCTTTTGTCATCCAGGAATTCACACACACTCACAGCCTGGTCACTCGCCCCCACCTTTCTTTCTCTCTCACACACACATTTTACTCCTCGTTCGTTCCGCCTGTGACCCCGCCCCCTCGAGGCTGGCTCACACACACCTCATGCTTCTCGCAGTCCCCTTCAAACTTTCTGCCAGACACTTCTGCTGATTCAGGACAACGCCCCAGCTTTTTTTACCAACACTGTTACTTTTACAGCACACACCTGCACAATCACTTAATCTGTGACATGTTGTTCGGTTACTGACGAATTTTCACAACCAGCAGTGATATTTGTCCAATGTAACATGTTTCTCTGTCAGATGAAGCACACTGCTCTCTCTTTAAAGTTCCTGTCAGTAGCCTTGTCATGGTCTGCGGTGGGTGGCTGGAATTTCCATAAGGCTCCTGAACTTACCTGGGATCCGCCCCTGGGCAGGGCCAACTCCAGCTCCTGCACATCTGGAGCCTATTGCAGGCAATCAAGCCAGAGGGATTTAAACCACACGTTGATGTTCATTCACTGCCAGTTCGTCATCAACACATGTTGGTAACAGGCCTTATACTTCAAGTTCTTGCTGTGATCTATCTTGTTAACACGACTCTCTTGTGCTGCAGTTGCTGTATTCACCTTGGCTCACGCTCCACCTCCGGACTCAGGATACCAAGCAATCATTCTGAAAATCTCTCTGTGCCTCACCTGCCTGCCCTCCTGCCATCACACTCCATCTGAAGCCCCGGATCTCAGGCCAGCCTTTCCACGCCACTCAGCCTCCCCTGGATTCTCATCACCCCCCCTCTCAAACACTCCAGGTCCCTAACTGCAAGTAAGAATTGCTGCTCTTACAACTGGCCACTTCAGAGCTGCCTCCACTACCTCCCTAACTCTATCTTCTTCCTTCAGTGTGACTGTTCCCTGCTCAGCTCCACTCCACATCTCAGGCCTCATTCCCTCGCCCTAGCCACGTTCCCCAGGCCACGCCTCGTCAAACTCCACGTCTTATTGTTTTTTTTTTGTCTTTGCTACGTTTTCTTTTTTGCACTTAAACCTAATAAATTGTTACATCATCTGCTGTCTCTGCTCTGGGTTTCTGCACCTGAGTCCTGTTCAGTACAGGCCACTCGGCCCCGTGACAAGCCTTGCTGCAGATAATCAATAACCTGACTCATGAAGACTAGAAAATGAAAACCTATTGGTTGTAATAGCTGTGTTCTTCCACAGTGCAGAGCTGTGCACACTAAAGGGAAAACATTTCCCTGCAGAGCTTTTAGCTGATGACACATGTCATCACATAACTGAGATGAAAGTGAGTGGCTGTCAGGACTCCTGTCTGAGATTCTGTTTACTTTTAACCAGGAAAACTGGGATGACGGGAAAACATCAGCACCGACACACACACACACAGACACAGACACACTGCTTTATTCTTCACCTCCAGCTTCATCTGGATAGTTCACATGGAACAAGATCAAACTGTCTTGATTATTAATGTGTAACTTTATTCAAAAACATTTTACAAAGTGCTCTAAAACATTAGCAAAAAACATATTTGGTTGTAATAGTCATTTGGCCCAAACGCCAGATTATATACAGACAATACATATATAGTACCTGATAGGTTTGTAGCATAAACCTATTCGCTGGAACGTTAAGGACAATCTGCTACGCAGCAAAAAGCAAGACACAAGGCACCAAAGTTCTCTGGTTTACCCATGCATGAGGAGACCTGCCTGGAGCCAAGCGTCGTCCCACCACTTGACCTCCGTCAGACTCTCAGCCAGGCTCCCCACAGCACTCCTTTTATTATGGTTACATGAATATGCATAGGGTCATTAACATATAGCATCTTACATAGCTATACATGTGAACAAAGAATACTGTGTGTGTGTGTGTCAAATCAAATCAAATCACTTTTATTGTCACATCACATGTGCAGGCACACTGGCACAGCACATGCGAGTGAAATTCTTGTGTGCGAGCCCCACAAGCAACAGAGATGTGCAAACACAACAACACAAACGAGCAAAATACAAGAATGGCCAACCTGAAACTAATAAATATATGTACAATATATAATAGTGTATGCATTTCTGGATGTGTATACTAAATATTTTCCTACGTGTGTGTGTGTGTGTGTGTGTGTATACACATTTTTACAAATTAAATAGTAAAAAAATAAAATAATAATAATAATAAAATAAAATATAAAAATATACAGAGTTGAATATGTGCAAAACAGCGGCATTACTGTACAGTGTGTAGTGCATAATGTTGAATGTGTGTGTGTGTGTGTGTGTGTGTGTGTGGTACTGCTGATCAAAGGGTCATATACGTAAAAGCACAAAGGCAACATCCTTGGTCAGGAAGAGGGTAGACCCCCCCTCACCCTAGATGGTTCACCCTAGATAACACGGTGAGGAAGTCCAGCAGTTCATCTATATGTAAAGAAGCACTTAAACTAAAACAGACATAGCTACAATAATCCTACCATAAAACAATAAGACAAGGTACGACCTCTTCCCATGCTCCCAGGATGTAGGTGTGCATTCCAGTGTGGAATACACACCAAGCCTTTGCAGCCTGTTAAAGATCACACAGCCTACCACTACACAATTGATTATACACCTCTAAGCATGTGTGGTTAAATATTTCGTAATACAAATGACAATAATAAAATCTAAACCCATCAGTACCCAATGTACATTATCGTACTAACCTAAATCACTAAACACCCTAAAGTTATACTAGAAGTTCTAACATAAAATGCTACTCCAATATATGAAGTCAGTGAGAACTGGAAATAATAGCACTTCGATTACAAGTTTTGAAAAATCCTTGCAACACACAATCCTTGCGTCCGTTTGAATACAGAGAAAGGCGTTAATATTTTTAAAGAGCTTTCAATATTATTCCAGATTTGTGGGCCTGTGCATGGTCACACTGTAGACACAAAATAATAACAAGAAGGTGAAATCGAGGTGTTTCCTGCATGTGGACGTCTTATGGCCTGAGCTCTTATTGGCTGTTGTGCATGTGAGTTATCCTGTGCAGACAATGTGGGGTTAATGAACACCGGCTACTAATGTCTGCCTCATTTCCCTGATAAATTCTTCTCTCCTCTCTCAGCTGCTCATTAAACACCTGACTAGAATCCATGTTGCTGCTTTCTTCAGGTTCCTGCTGCTCATTAGCTAAATTTGATTCAGTTCAGTTCAACTACTGAGTAAAACAACGTAAAACCACACCGACAGCTCTTTATTTCACTATTTTTCTACTTCCTGTATTTCATTTAGAAGTAGGATTGTGTTTTAGTTGTGCATTAGTTTTAGTTTCTAAAATGTTATCATCTTTACCCAAAGACAAAAGGAGGGAGGAGGAGAGGAAGCCATCGATCTTTAAACTGCGTCACTCATTTCTTTGTGTTCTTAACTTTTACTGTAAAAATAATATATTCAGTAAACCACATTTAGCTCTTTTGGCTCTTTGGTGTTATGGAGTCACAGCCTCTGTGAGGACAGGGTTTTGGGGGTAGGTGACAGGACGAGGGACTGTTCAGAGTTGCATGTAAGCCCTTAACTCTATTTTCTGGTTTGAATTCTGGATAAATTCATCCAGATGTCTAGAAAGGAGAGCTGCACCATCCAAAGTGGGATGGATGCCATCTTCCTCAATAACACCAGTTGTTAACATCCTTCCTCACTTGAGGAGCCCTCCTCAGTAGTTGTTGGATTAAGAATGGTCTTTAAATTTTTATATATTTCCTTCTTTTGTCCTTTCAGTGTTTTCTGTAGTTGTTTAATCGTGTCTTCATCTGCCAGCCGATGAAGGAGAGGTCCACAGTAAAGTCTGACAAAGCAGAAAACCACAGTTAAAGTTAATGAAGTGGGTTAAACATCTGTGGAGCACATCATTGGTCTGCTGTTTACCGTGCACACTGAGGTTCTGGTAGAGGGGAACACAGCAGCTGGTTCAGGTGGAGGCTCTGCCTCATGCAGCACTGCCATTGGCTGAAAGCATGAGCCACACATGGCTGCCAGTTACGCACAACTTCATCCTTTAAAGCTTTCATCTTCCTCTCAAACTCGTCCTCTACAGACAAAGTAAGACAAAGTTTTGGTGCCAAAGAACCAGAGACCAGCAGCAGTTTCTCTTCTTGTTCAGACTGATGTGGAAGCATCAGTGCTGCTGCTGTCACACAAAATCTGTTTAGAGGAACTCTGAATACAGGAACTCTGACTACAGTCCATCTGCTGACTGCTTCTTACACCAATAAATGCATGTCAATGTAGATATCCATCATGTTACCCAGTGAGACTAACCTGGACCATCGGGCTCACACACTAACCACAGCAGGAGAGCATGGAGGCAGTTTACAGTTTCAGGCTTTGGGTGGTGCTGTAGCTTCTTAAACCAGAAAACAGTCACACAGACTGGCAGCTTCAGCTGGTCGGGGATGTTTTCTAAGTCTGAAGTCTGAACCTGCAGAGCTTCTTCAAACACCCTGCGACGCAAACGCTCAGGAGCCTGCACAGATAAGATGCTCACATGTACCACAGAAACACGTCTGCCTGTCAGAGTAATTAAACACATATTTAATGATTAACCTCAGTACCTCATTCAGACGCTGTAGTCTCAGTTGTTTCTGTTCATCACTGCTGGGAAGTATTGATGGGACACGGTAGTATTTGATCTCTTCTCCATCCCTGCCATATTCAGTAACCTCACCTCCTGTTAACAGTCCATAGAAGTACTGTCTGATGCGGTAAGCAGCTGTGTAACTACTACTCTGTGAAAAGTCCTCCACAAGTGGGGTCAGCAGGATTGTCTTCCAATCCACAACACTTGTGACAAAAGTGGTGAGTTCTCCACGCTCAACTTTTTTACACACCCATGGTGGCAACTTAGAACTTGTTTTTTCTGGTTTAACATGTTTTTGAATGGCGAGTTTGAATGTTTGGTTCTCTTTTTTACCAACATGATTTAAAGCTTTACTCAGAGCACGTTCTCTCTTCTGTGAGTCGTCCAAGCCATCCAGGTTCACTTTACTTAAAAAGCCGAGCATACCATCCAGTCTTTTAATGCTGCACTCACCAGGTGAAGATGATTCCTTTGCAAAAGCGCCATAGTCTTCTAATCTTGAATAATCATTTCCTGCTATTGAAGCAAAGACTGGCATGAGAGCAGGGTCCAATTTAAAATGCTCACAAAACGTTGAACGTGTGTAGATCTTAGCAGGAATTTTTCCATCTTCTTCTTTTTTCCACTCAAAGTTGTCGAGATAAAGGAAACCTTTGTGCACATCAAAGATGTAAAAATCTTTGTCAATGGACAGCACAGCACATTGTTGCTGATTTGCCTCGGAAACAACCTCAGGGTCTGCCTCTCCTAAACACACTTTAAACTTTATGCCTTTTTCCCTTAAGATTTCTATGAAGACATCTTTGACCAGAGGTGGTAAGACATTACATGTCTCTGGTACAGTGCCGTCAGGCTCTGTCTCTGCTACTGTCTTTGCTTTTTTCAGTTTATATTTTAGACGAGACACATTGTGTTCATGCTTCTCGGGCCCTGAGTCTCCATCCAGGATGACGTACGGATTGACTTCACAGTCCTGCAGAGTCTTAAAGAACTTGCAGACCTCATGTTTGAATCCAGGATAATCCCCTCCACAGCGCTGGTCCAGCTTTGGATCGGATGTATAATACAAAGAATAGTACAGAGCATTACCATCAATGATGAGACCTGTTTTTTCTACCTTAACTTCTTTGCAGAGACACAAACCATCTATCATTTTCTTTAATGTTGAAACCTCCATGATTCCTTAAAGTGTGGATGAAGATGAGCGGTGGTTCTTGTGCTAATGCCCTTCTGTCTGCAGATATTTGTACACCTACTAGAGTCCACACCCACACCGACACAGCGAGTCAAACCTGTTTTGACTAATTTAACATACCTAACTTGCTCTTTTGGTTTCATTTCTTTATTCTTCATGTTGTGATTTTCTGTTTCATTTCACTTTGTGGAGCAAAATCAAATGTGTTTCATCAGCTTTCCAGCTGTTAATAATGCAAAGGTACTTTGTGTCCATCACAAAGGCTCAACTCTGCCATGAACTGGAAACTGCTGCAACTCGAGCATCACCATCCACAGTGAAGCCAGTGTTATATAACCATGGACTGTGAGCATGCTGACTAAGAAAGAAGCAACTGTTCCAAAATCGACATCTTGAAGCCCGAGTGAAAGTCGCAGCTCCTCGTCATGGACGGGTGAAATGTCTTTTGGAGAAAGATTAAATAAGATAAGATAAGATAACTCTTTATTGTTATTGCACAGTCATACATAGTACAGTAGTACAATGAAATTGGAAAACTGTCCTACGTCGGCAGTACATATAACACAACACGACACGATATGACACATCACAACGCAACACAAACAACACAACACAGTATATTAACTTAGTATAAAAAAGAAGAATAAGTGTATGTGTATTGCACACTGTTATTATTGCACATTAATTATTATTGCACCTTGTTATAAATATAAATATTATTGTTATCGTTTTAAACATTGTTACGTCCCCCTAAAAAAGTCCAGGGAGGTATCCAGTCAGGTCAGCTGTTTACATTGATCAGGGCTATTGCCCTGTTGTAAAAGCTGTCCTTGAGTCTATTTGTTCGGGACCTCAGCAGCCTGAACCTCCTGCCAGACGGCAGCAGCTTAAACACCCGGTGTCCTGGGTGTGTGTCGTCCCGTAGGATGCTGCGTGCCCTCTTGAGACAGCGAGTGCTGTACAGGTCCTTCAGGGAGGGAAGAGGATGTCCAATGATTTTTTGGGCCATGTTGATGACCCTCTGGAGTGCCTTTCTGTGTGCTGTGGTGCAGCTGGAGAACCACACACCGATGCAATATGTCAGCACACTTTCAATGGAGCAGCGGTAGAAGACGGTCAGCAGCTCCTTCTTCAGGTCCATTTTTCTGAGGATTCTCAGAAAGTGGAGACGCTGTTGGGCCTTCTTTAAGACCGCAGAGGTGTTAGAGCTCCATTGGAGGTCTGTGTCTATGTGCACACCCAGAAACTTGAAACTGGAGACCCTTTCCACGCACTCCCCGTTGATGCTGACAGGCTGCAGCTCGGACTTCCTCCTTCTGAAGTCAACTACCAGTTCTTTTGTTTTGGTGGTATTGAGGTCCAGGTTGTTATCTGCACACCAATCTGACAGCCTCTGAACTTCAGCTCTGTACGCATTCTCATCTCCCCCTGAGATGAGCCCCACCACAGTGGTATCATCTGCAAACTTGATGACTGTGTTGTCTGGGTGGGAACTAACACAGTCATGTGTGTATAGAGTGTACAGTAGGGGACTCAGTACACAGCCTTGTGGAGAGCCGGTGTTGAGGCTGAGGGCTGAGGAAAGATGAGGCCCCACTCTAACTCTCTGCACACGGTCTGAGAGTGTCATGGCGTCATGAATGTTATGTCTCGGTTCAACCCACTTTCGGCCTGGTGCATTAGGGGGCGCTAGTATAAATAGTGGCCATTTGACCATTCCTGGATCGCTTACCTGTGATCTCCTTTTTGGTCACCTGACTTCCCTTGGTGTTGCAGAGATCATCTGCGGGTTACCCTTCTGAAGCCTCCATCGTGGCTGTTTACTCATTGTAGTGTGTACATTACCTTACTTGGTGGTAAACAGATGTTGTTTTTAGGTCGTAGCTGTAGAAGCCTCCTATGAGCCACTCTGCTCATGATTCATGACGCTGTTTACTCAGAAGTGTGGGCCTTAGTTTTGCACAACGCTACGCTAACTGAAGTGCTGCTGCTTTGCTTTTACCGTCTGTTCCTGTTGCGAGGTTTCTTTTCCTGCTGCTGCCAGCCTCCTAAAGTGGACGTCGGCGTGGACAGCGGCCATATGCATGCCGGCTACGGGAGTCGGCTGGCGTGCACATTGATTGACTGGATGATTAACTTATAGTCGGGCAGACGGCAAGTTGGAGCAATACGGCGATTCCGTCTGCTCCAGATTTTAAAGTTTTATTTAGATTGTATGTTGTTTTTCTGTTGTTTGGATTTGCAGTTTGGATTTTTGTTATGCCACTGGTGGGAGGCCCTTTTTCTATCTGCAGATCACCAGTGTGGTCCTGCAGTTGGGTTATCCCCCAGCGCTGCATATTAGTTTTGTTGTAATATATTAAAAAAAAATTTGTTTCTTTTATTCAGATGCGGAGGGCTGACGTGGAGGAGACTGGGGGCACCTTGGTGGTGGGATCCTTTGAGTGTTACACACCTGTCTTCTTTTATTAGTGTGAGTGTGTGAGAGTGTGCTGCACTTGTGTATTGGTGTGTTTTCTTTTCTTCTTTTTTGAGTTTGTGCGTGGCATCCCTGCCCCTCCAGTGGTAAGCCTTAGCTCTGAATACCTTTTTTTAAGCATATTTGTACATTGATGTTTATGATTGTGCTTTTATATGTTGTTTTAAATAATTATTAATAAGTTGTCAAACTGTTTTATCATTGAACCTCGTCTCTGTACTAGGGCTGAACGATATGTCGCATTTGCGATAATATCGCGACATGATCAAGTGCAATTTTCTAACCGCAAAGGCTGCGATTATACTCTGTTTACGTGACATGCGCGAGTAAAACATGTGATATGATCAAACGAGATTGTCTAACCACAGAGGCTGCACTCTGGTCACGTGACACGGGGAGCAAAGTTTTGAAACAGTCTACCGAGAGTGAACTAGCAAGCAAAGCTGTAGCCTACACAATGGCCTCAGGTTCAACAGAACCAGAGCCTGCGGGGATGCTAGTACCAAAGAGGAACTGCACATCAGCCGTGTGGGAATATTTTGGGTTTAAAAGAGATGATGTCGCACAGAGTCAGGTACTGTGTAAAACCTGTCTTGGTAGAGTTTCTACATCTCGGGGAAACACTACGAATTTGTACCAGCACCTTAAGACTCAGCACAAAACAGTGTATGATAGATGTATGGCTAAAAAATCTAGTAGTGCGCAGAATAAACCTAGTAACGTTACTCGGCAAGGATCACTGACCGAACTGTTTGAAGGTGTTACGCCATATGAACGCACTTCAAAACGGCACGTGGAAGTAACCCACTGCATCGCGAAAGACATGATGCCCGTCAATACGGTGACCAAGCCTGGGTTCAATAATTTGGTAACTACACTGGATAAGAGGTACAGAATGCCCTCCCGCACGTATTTCAGTCAGACTGCAATACCCGAGCTACATATGCAATGTAGGCGGAGGGTCGCAGCGGAGTTAAAGGCTGTTGAGTTTTTTGCGGCGACAACAGACATGTGGTCAAGCCGTACAGCAGAGCCCTATCAAAGTCTGACGGTGCATTACATTACCGAAGACCTCCACCTCGAAGCTCGCAGCCTACAAACGGCCTACTTCCCCGAAGACCACACAGGGGAAAACATTGCTGCTGGCCTGAGAGGGGGGCTTGCGTGTTGGGATCTCCCTGAAGACAACCT